ACACCAAGAATAGACAGACTCCTAGACCTTCCTAGAACCAGGAGTCCTGAGGAAGCCAGGGTCCCTCCCAGAGCTGGACTCACTCACCTGCCAGTGTACCAGGTGACCTGGGAGAGCAGCCTCACTTGGCAGCTGACAATGCTGCTACTTCCTCCCCTCCCAGTACTGAGGTGTGATTCCTGCTTCATGATCTGTCTCCAGGGAACTCCCAGCAACGCACCCCTGCAGTCAAAGTGTGACTCAGCCCCAACTCTGACTCTCCCTGGAGCAACCCTGACCTGTTTTAACCTGCATCTCTGTGTACAGGTCCTGCAAGAACACGGACACACTAGTGCCTGCTCTTCAAAGTCTGTGTTTGTATTATGGGTGCATATGATCAGCTTCCAAAGAACATCACACCCAGACCCAGAACCCACATGTGGTCCCTGCTAATGTGCTATGTACAGAGAAGAGGGGAAAACGTAGATTTTGTAGCAATGAAAATCATCAGTGTGTGTGTGTGTGTGTGAGAGAGAGAGAGAGAGAGAGAGAGAGAGAGAGAGATTTATTAAACACTGAAAGTGCTGTGAGATTTGGCTCAATGCCGGGATACTCAAATGAGACCTTCAACAAGAGGAACCTAAGAACGTAAGTGGCCCCAGGGCCCCTGGGTGCTTCTGGATGAGGGGAGGGTCAGCAGTGTCTTTGCAACTGGGAGCTCCAGGGAAGGGCTCCCTAGTGGATTCCTAAAGCCCTGGTTTGGTTTTGGTGTCTCCCTGTAGAGTATCAGGATTCAGTAAGAACAGTTCACTCTGTCCAGACATCAATAACACACGGTGTCCCTGAGGGAGCAATCTGACATCAGGGTACAGCCTTCACTACTGGACTAGAGATGCTGAGAGGTCAATGCCCTGTGATCCCTGACAGGACTCTCCCCTGCAGAGGCAGAGCTAGGCAGTAGGGGGCGCTCAGGGCCCAGGAGCTCAGGCTGCTGCCTCAGGAGAAGGTGAGAGGGAGCTGGGCAAGGGTTTCCTCTAAGGCAGCGGTTCTCAACCTGTGGATCGCGACCCCTTTAGCAGTTGAATGACCCTTTCACAGGGGTCGCCTAAGACCATCCTGCATATCAGATATTTACATTACCATTCATAACAGTAGCAACATTACAGTTATGAAGTAGCAACGAAAATAATTTTATGGTTGGGTCACAACATGAGGAACTGTACTTAAAGGGCCAGAAGTTTGAGAACCACTGCTCTAAGGCCTGAGGCTTCCTCTCTTCATACAAACAATCCAAACTGAAAGTTGGACACTACTGCTGAGGTGAGTGTGAATATCCTGCTCTATCAGAATATTTACTCAACTCAATGAGACCTCAGAACCACACACAAAGGGGTGTTTCTATGGCTTCGGGATATCTGAATTGTAAGGGGCTGGCACAGGGATGGATTTATTATCTCACTAGGGGCAACATTTTGGAGACACACGGACCAGGAAGAAGACATTCAGGTATCAAAGCCCAGAGCTGGTCCAGGTGGCCCCATGTCACCCAATGCTGGGCTCACAATGAGGAGCATGTTCTGTGGGGGCTGGTTCCACAATGGGAGGATCTCTATCTTCACAGAAGTCAGGGACCTGGCAGGAGACACACATCCTCCAACCAAGATTAGAACTTGGTGAAACCAAGAGCTAGTTTCTTGAAAAGATAAAGAAATTGATGAACTATTTGCCAGACTCATCAAGAAACAAAGAGAGAGACCCCAAATAAATAAAATCAGAAAGGAGAGAGGAGAAGTAACCACTGACACCACAGACATACAAAAGATTGTAAGAAAATACTGTGAACAACTATATGCCAACAAGCTTATAATGTGGATAAAATGGAGGGATTTCTACAAAAACACAATCTCCCAAAACTAAAACAGGAAGAATAAGAAAACCTGAATAGACTAATAACAACTGAGGAAATAGAAGTAGTAATCAAAAAATTCCCAGCAAGAAAAGCCCTGGTCAGGATTGCCTAACAGGGGATTTTTACCAAACAGTCAAAGAACTATCACCTACACTTCTAAAATTATTCCAAAATTTCAAGAGTTTAGAAAACTTCCAAGCTCTTTTTAAGAGGCCAGCATTATCCTAATTCCAAAACCAGATATAGACACTAGAAAGAAAAACAGTTACAGGCCAATATATCCCTGATGAACATAGATGCTAAAATCCTCAACAAAATATTAGCAAATATGATCTATTAAAAAGATCATATACCATAACCAAGTGGGATTTATTCCAGGAATGCAAGTCTGGTACAATACTCCCAAATCAATAAACGTGATACATCCCATAAAGAAATTGAAATACAAAAATCACATGACCACATCAATAGACACAGAAAAAGCATTCGAAAAATCCCACACCCATTTTTTGATAAAAATCTCTCAGCAAAGTGGGAATAGAGGGATCTTACCTCAACATAAGGAAGGCCATATATGACAAACCTACAGCCAACATCATACTCAATGGGCAAAAATGAAAACCATTTCCTGTAAGAACAGAAACAAGACTGGGATGTCCATTTTTACCACTCTTACTAAACATAGTACTGGAAGTCCTAGCCACAGTTATCAGACAAGAAGAAATAAAAGGCATTCACATTGGAAAGGAGGAGGTTAAATTCTTATTATTCACAGATGACATGATAGTGTACCTAGAAAACCCTAAAGACTCCACCAAAAACTACTAGATTTAGTAAACAAATTCAGCAATGTAGCAAGATACAAAATTAAAACCCAGAAACCCATGGTATTTTCATAAACCAACTAGAGACCTGGTGCATAAAATTCATGCAGGGGTAGGGTCCCTAAGCCTGGCATTGATCAGGGTCAATTGGGGCCTTCCAGCTACCAGCTAAGCCCTTCCTTTCCTGGCTTCCAGCTGCCAGCTGCAGGCCAAGGCCTTCCTTCATTCCACGATACCCCCTGGTGGTCAGTGCACGTCATAGGAAGTGATCAAACTCTGGATTTCCTGGTCCAAATCCCGAGGGGGCACTTTGCACATTAGCCTTTAAATATATATTGAATTCTCAGAAAGAGAAACTAAACAAACAATCCCATTTACTACTGCAACAAAAAAATAACAAAAAAAATTAACATACTTAGGAATAATCTTAACCAAGTAAGTAAAATACTTGTACTCAGAAAACTATATGACTTTGAAAAAAGAGAGAGTGCAAGATAAGAATAAGTTGAAAAATTTACCGTGTTCATGGATTGGTAGAATTAACATCATTAAAATGTCCATGCTACCCCAAGATATCTACAGGTTCAATGAAATACCTATTAAAATACCAACAGCATATTTCACAGGTCCAGATAAAATTCTCCAAGTTTATATATAAAAAAACAACAACAAAAAACGAATAGCCACAGCAATCTTGAAAAAGAAGAACAAAGTGTGAGGTATCACAATACCAGACATAGTGTTATTCTACATAGCCACTGTAAACAAAACAGCCTGGTATTGGCACAAGAACAAGCATATCCATCAATGGAACAGAACAGAGACTCCAGAAATAGACCCAAGCCATTTACATTCAATTAATAGTTGACAAAGGAAGAAGGAGAATACAATGGAGTAAAGACAGTCCCTTCAATAAATGGCATTGGGAAAATTGGACAGATACCTGCAAAGAAATGAATCTAGAACACCAACTTCCACCACACACAAGATAAACTCAAGAAAGATAAAAGACTTAAATGTAAGAAGGGAAACAATAAAAATCCCAGAAGAAAGCATAGGCAGCAAAATCTCAGACATCTCTAGTTGCAATATGTTTACAGATACGTCTCCTAGGCAAAGGAAACTAAGGAGAAAATAAGCAAATGGGACTACATCAATATGAAAAGCTTCTGCACAGCAAATGAAACCATCAACAAAATGAAAAGGGAACCCACAGTATGGGAGAACTTATTTGGCAAGATACAGTTGATAAAGGGTTCATATCCAAAATATATAAGGAACACATACAACTTAACAAAAGGAATACAAACAATCTAATTTAAAAAAATGGGCAAAGGACCTAAATAAACATTTCTCCGAAGGGAACATACAGACGGCCAAGAGACATATGAAAAAAATTCTCAAAGTCACTGATCATCAGAGAGATAAAATTATAAAACAATGAGGTATCACCTCACACCTGTCAGAATGGCTACCATCAACAAATCAGCAAATGACAAATGCATACAAGGATGTGGAGAAAAGGAAACCATAGTACGCTACTGGTGGGAATTCAGACTGATTCAGCTATTATGGAACACAATATAGAGTTTCCTCAAAAAATTAAATATGGATCTACCATTTGACCCAGCGATCCCACTTCTGGGGATATATCCTAAGAAACCCAAAACACCAATCAGAAAGAATGTATACACCCCTATGTTCATAGCAGCACAATTTAAAATAGCTGACATCTGGAAACAGGCCAAGTGCCCATCAGTAGATGCATGGATAAAAATACCTGGTACATTTATACCATGGAATACTATGCAGAAGTAAAAAGAAGGATCTCTTACCCTTTGAGACAGCATTTAGGGACCTGGAGTGTATTATGCTAAGTAAAAAAAGTCAGTCAGAGAAAGACAAGTATCACATGATCTCACTCATATATGGAATCTAGTGAACAAAATAAACTGATACACAAAATGGATGCTAAGACCTAGAAGCATAGGATGATGAAGGTCTGGGTCACGGGGTGGGGGAGGTCTAGAAGGGATCAATGGGGTAAAAGGAGACATATGTAATACCTTTAACAATAAATATATATTTTTTAAAAAGAATAAGGACTTGGACCCTGAGACTCCCATGGAGCATTGTCCCTCTGACATTCATTTTCTCTCACTTGGGGTCAAGACCTCAGCTATAAAATACTCTGCCTCATGAATATGCAAAGGGAGGAGGTAGACTAGGATAAATATGGATAAGACTGTGCCCTGGGGGCATCACCCACAGCCATACCCTTCCCTACAGAAGTGCTCACAGCACAGCCCTCACCATGGACTGGAGCTGGAGAACCCTTCTCCTGGTGGCCATGGCTACAGGTAAGGGGCTTCCCAGTGCCCAGGTTAAGGAGGGGACCAGGGAGAGTCAAGGAGGAATTCCACCCACTCCTATCTCCTCCCTACAGGTGTCCACTCCCAGGTGCAGCTGGTGCAGTCTGGGGCTGAGGTGAGGAAACCTGGGGCCTCCGTGAAGGTCTCCTGCAAGGCTTCTGGGTACACCTTCACCAGCTACTGGATGCAATGGGTGAGACAGACCCCAGGACAGGGGCTTGAGTGGGTGGGGAGTGTTAACCCTAACAATGGAAACACAAATTACGTACAGAAGTTCCAAGGCAGAGTCTCCATAACCAGAGACACGTCCATCAACACAGCCTACATGGAGCTCAGCAGACTGAGAGCAGAGGACACAGCCATGTATTAATGTGTGAGACACAGTGAGGGGAATTCAGTGTGAGCCCAGACACAAATCTCCCTGAGGGGGAGGCTGTGTCCACCAGGGGGCGCTCAGGGGCCCTGGACATGAGGACCATCCCAACAGCAGATGCAGTTGGAGGTTTGGGTTGGTTTCCTGTGTGGTTTCCTCTTCATGTCACAGTTTCCATCAAGGAACTTCTTGATTCCTGGCTCTGTGCTTTCCTCTGAAGTGTCAGAGTTTAAAAATTGTGTTGTGAAAAGACAAAATGGCGGCGGTATAGACGGATGTATCCCATGCCCTTTCCCGAAGCAGATAGGGTGAGCAGCTGAAACGAGTAATATCCAGCCCGAATTGGCAGAGGGGAGTCAGCTGGGAGACAGTTTGCAGCAGGGAAAGGCAGAGGACTTCCAGATAAAGGTAAAGTCAAGGCTCTGGGAAGGATAATCGGCCAGACCGCTGAGCCCTGAGGATCAGAGGGAATCCATACAGCACTGGCTTCGGACATGTCCCGTGGGATAGGCACAGTGGAATAAAAGGTACACAGAACTGTTGGTCTGCAGGGGATTCTAGATCTGTGTCCACAATCAGGAAAGGCTGAGGAGTGCCGGCAGAAGAGTGCGCAGAGGCGCAGCCTTTTCCCCCTCTCAGGGGATTCTAGATCTGGGTCCAGAGTCAGTAAAGGCTGAAGAGTGCCAGCAGGAGAGTGCACAGAGGTGTAGCCTCTCCAGCCTCTGTGGCTTGTGCCTCTCTTCATAGAGTCTAGTTGATAGGACCTTTTGGATACAGACACTTACCGGTGGCTGGAGCATGGGAGAAGGTGCAGAATTGTGGAATCTGGGTGAGAGGGGGACCCAAGGAAAGTGGCAGCGAGTGTGGTGCTGAGTCATGCCTGAGCCTGGGACCTCGGCAGCCATTTTGTCCCAAAGAGATAGCTCCTCCCTCCAGTATCCAGGCAACTAATACAGTCACACCCAGATTCCACCCTGAACAGTAAAAGGATTAAAAAACACAAAAAAAACCTTAAATAGTCCCTGAGAGCACAAAGGGGCTGTACTAAAGAGGGTCTTTAAGTACCAGCAATTGGATCCTGAGAAACACGACAGTACAGAAAACTGGGATCTCAAGCCAGCCAAAGGAACACTCACTTTTTCATTTTTATTTTATTTTATTTTTTAATACTTTGTTATTGCTTTTTTTTCTTTTTTTCTTTGTTTTCTTGTTTTTGTTTGTTGATTTATTTTCTATTTATTTTCACATTATTTTTCCATCACTCTTTTATTTTATTTTTATTTTCTATTTTTATACCATTTTTGAAATCAAATTTTTGGTAAATTTATTATTATTTTTTCTCATTCTCTGTCCTCTTATCCACCCATCCCCTTTAAACTTCCTCTATAATGAACTGAGATCGTCCCCATATTCATCGAACTTTTAACCTTATCTTCTATATATAAGCTCAGCATCTACAGATTCTGCCCCCATCTTCTTTGCTG